TGCCTCATAATCGTGCATTCAGTGGGTGGTTTCACGTCCTTCACAGATTCGTCTGCGTTTTATAAGACCTGCTTCAGACAGATGTTTTTGTGCAACTAAATAAATTGGTGACTGGAAGGGGCGCTAAGTTTGCAGCACCACCTCTTCTCTTCCGCCCTGAGTCTGCAGACGGTTTCAATGAGGACAGTCAAAAATCTTCATGGCGCCACAAGGATTTATCAGCAGTCTCTTACTCATTTGCAATAGTTGATACCAATGGATACGTGTAGCTTTTTTTTAGGAAAGCGACGTATCTCTGTTTCATTGATTGGAAGTAAACTTGCCAAATAAATCTATTGTAGCCGACTTGATGTATTGCCACTCGAAGGCAGCTCTGTTCTTTGTAGCTTTGTTTTAATGCTGATGGTGCTGGAAATCTTGAGGACTTCTGCTTTCGTAATAAAATCGCCCAAACGCCATTTAAGAATGGTACGAATGTCATACCAGTCGTAGAAGTTCAGGTATACAGAATACATTAGAATATAAATATTTGTTTGATATTTTTTTCTTAGTTTTTCTGTTGATCAAGACACGTTTGAGAAAATTAGCCTCGGTGATCGTACAAAAAAACCGATGTTTCAAATTGATATGGGTAGTTTGTTCAGATTCCAGCAGTAAACAATGAGTTTGTTAAGCATTGAATGTAAATTTGACATTTCGTGCATGTATATCTCTGTTGGGATACCATTGACGCCTGTAAGACGACCACAACCTTATGGATCACTTTTGGAATTTCCTAGTTTAGTTGGTAGTTGGATTTAATTGATTACAATTTCCTGAACTACACAGTTGCTGCTGAAGAGAGTGTTGAACTCTTCAGGCGAACGATTTAGGATGGATATATCGGTATACAGTACCATATTCTCAGTGCCGAGTTTGATAAGATGGACAGTGTATTCCTTCCAGCATTTGGTAGAGTCCCTTATAGTCTCTTACATCAGCGCAGAATTGAGCTCTCTCTGCATGGTCGTCCTATCGCGAGTTTTGCAAGATGTTTTGTTGGAGATAGAGACATGTTTTCCTTTTTTTTTTTTTAATCCGGGAGGATTGGATGAACGAGATGTAGGCGGAGTTTCTGAATCCTGATGTTGTTCTCTTTAGACCAGTCACAGTTTTTACTTGTTGAGAAACCAAAAACGTCTTTCGAGAACATTAGGATAATGAATTTCTTTCTGATAAGCCATATCACGTTGAACACCGGTCATTGTACAATCACCAAGGTCAAGAAACGTCGATCCTGGTCAATACCTAGATAGGTGACCGCATGGGAATAACAGGTATTGTAAGTTTGGAAGCGCTGATGTTGTAATGGATAGCGACTCGAAATTGGAACTCGGAGAGCCGAGGTCCAATTCCAGTCGATTCCATTATATTCACTAACGCACAAATACCCTTGGGAAAGGTATGAATCTGCCTCTTATACCCCCAGCTATGGGTTAATCAGTAAATAATTATTATCTAAAAAAATTCTTACAATTCAAAAATATTTCCTGGCTTTAAATGACCTGCAAACGGTTGATAAGCCGTAAAAATCAAATCACTCTTTCTGGTAACAGTCGATTCAAAGACTGGTGAAAACTTAAAAGTTTGCTTTTATAGCCTTTTCAACGTAGCAAACCTAAGGATATTTGTGGATGCCTTTCTCTCCTCTTCGGTTTTGACTTTAAATGGAAAATGTGTTTGCAGCGTAAGAAAACGCAGATGAATTTTGTTTTTTTCGCTGGGTGTCGTGCAAATATTTGGTGTTCAATTGAAAAACCAGGATGTAGCCGATATGGTGGCAGTGCTTGGAGTGAGGGTCTATCCAAGTGGTCTTTCATTTCGCTTTGTGAAATACTATAATTATGAAACATTAGCATCCAGAAAATATACAGGAAGCGAACCTCCTGCATTGGGGATACAAAATGTATTCAGTAAATGTACAAAAATAGAAAGGGGCGTATCTTCTCACTGGATTTATTCAAACTTGACAGTGAGACGATTGCGAGAGAATTACAAGTCTTACCAGGATTCTTTATTAATAGCTGAAATCTTAACAATATAAGATACGCAGATGACATAGTGTTCATAACAGACAGGCAATGTAAACTACAGACTTCTACAGAATTTAATAAAGGAAAGCGAGACGAAAGGACTAAGCATCAATTGTAAGATGACAGACTATGAATAGTTGTCAGTACAACCAGGACAACCGAAGATGCGAACTACGAATTGTAGATGCCAATACCAAGTCACTTCAGTTAAAAGGTGAGCAAAATGACTTTATTGAATGCTTCACTTAGATTCAGTTCATTAATTATAACGATCAAAACCAAACAAATTACTGAAAGCATCACCACATTTAATTTATCCAAACCCACTTGAGTTATCATTTTTTTCTCCTGGCCGGGGAAAATTTCATTGGATAAATCCAAAGTTAGATCTTTCCGCCATTTTCAGATTGTCTTTAAACCTTTTAAAGCGCATTTCAAGACTTCGGATTAAAAGAAAATCGTCAAAATTACACTTGACTAGCGACTCGTTGTAATGGTCCAAAGCGGTTGATCAAGACCGTTTAAATCGCGATCAGTGTTCGATCCCAGTTCAAAGTCAGAATTTCTGATTGTTTTTTTTTTTTATTAGAGAAGTTACTTACAGCACAATCTTTCTTTTAGTTGACCTTAATATTTGCTTATTTTGAAATTAAAGGTTACATTTTGAAATGTGACAAAAGTTAAATTTATTTCTTAAGAACAAGGATTAGCAATGACAAAAGATCCCAAGGAAACTAATTCTAATATTCTAAAATATCTGTGAGTTTTGACACAGAATCCACATCTATACCTAAACCAAAAGCTCTTGGTGAACAGTTAGCGGAATATGGTAGGTATAACTTTACGAGATCACAAGACAATCACAGCAGTTTTGGGTGTCAACAATCTCAACGGGTGAAGCGGTAAATTTACGCCCCATTTTTGAGCTTTTGTTGACAGAAAGATGTCATCGTTTCTCAAAGAGTTTTGGCGATTCTTTATCATCAATTATTTTTTTTCTCTATACTCAAAAAATTGTTCAGAAATTTTAAAAACAAAGCGAAATTTTAAAATCTTTAGTGGAATTTATTTAAAAGCGATTTCAGATTTTTGTAAAATGCTTGTAATGTGAAATATTTTCTGTTTAGTTGTAAATTTTAATGTTTGTTTTTCATTTCAGGAAACTGAAGTCTATTAATTATAAAAAGCAGTAAAGACGTCAACAGATATTTTATGTGATAAACATTAAAGTTTAATATTTTAAGGCTCTGTTGAAAATCTGAATGTCATGAATGACATTGGCCAATTTAGAGAGCGTAAATTGGGGCGTTTACAACCAGGCATCCATAATGGCTTGTTGTTATTTACTAAGCTTAAGGATAGGCACATGGCCACAACTATGGGTCACCCAGTATGGATCGAACTCACTAATTAGTAGTAATGGTGGAATGGAGAAGCTTACTGACTGTGACAACACTCCGAAGAGTAGTATATTCGATGTTGTTAGGGTACACATGTCTTTTGATAATTCTCCAAATATTTTTTTATGTGATTGATGTTTAGAAAAAAGGCCGGACACTTGATTACACCTGAAAAGGTATCATTGAAGTACGGAGCAGTTGCCTTTGCAGAATGTTAACTCGCATTATCTTATTGAAAGACCAACCTCTTTCTATTTTTATCTGTTGGTAGTTTGTGAACCATGTGCTATTCTATTAGTAGTATTGCTGAATTGGAGAAGATTGCTGACCACGATAACACTCCGAAGACAGTCAGTTTTAAGAGTAGAATATTTGATCTTAGTCTGCACATGTCTTTCGATAATTCCCTAAGTATTTTTCTATGTGATTGATGTCTGAAAACAAGTCCGGACAGTTCATTACATCTGAAAAAGGATCATTGAAGTATGAAACAGTTGCCTTTGTAGAATGGCAACTCGCATTAACTTGCTGAAAGATCAATCTCTTGCTAATGTTATTTAATGGTAGTTTTGGAATCACGCTCTCTTCTAACATCTCTTTGTACTTGACTACTTCAAATTCACTTAATAATTTGACAACGTCGCTAAACAGCCAGTAAAGCCACCCAAGGTCTTTATTCTTCCATCAATAAATTTCCTTTCAGTGTTTCTTGTTATAGATCATACACTGTAAAGGATCTGTTCCCATTCCATTCTGCAGATCAGGGTGCTCTTTGCTGATCGTCTCTACCCACTGGCATCTGGATTCTGTCTGGTGTTTATGCAATAACGGTTTCCGTTTAATAAGCACCAGTACAACATGTGAGTTATAATTGTGAACGGGCGAATTTGATATTTGCTTTATCTGATTTATTGTTTGTACAATTTTCCCAACATGTATTTTCTACGGCATCTCTTACAATTGATCGTTTGGTCCACTCAAAGATCTTCATTTTTCTTGCCAGCTCGTGTCTGTTTGATGTCATAAACGTCAGGATTCTTAAAAGAACATTTCCTATCCCGGCGATAGACTGAGATTTTCCTAAAGTTTTAAAATTTTTTGACAGCATCAGATGGGTTCTTGAAGTTCCAGAATCGCCCTATTTTGCTTCAAGTAAACATACTTTTTCATCTGACAAGCAAGAAATCTTTCAATATTTTCAAAGAATCTTTTCGTGTTCTCTTCAGTGTTTGACCTACAGAAAAACTTTAAATTCACAAGTGATTTGATAGTTGATTGATTTATTTGTATTTTATGTCATATCAACCCTTTGTATGTTATTTAAAGCCAGGAAATATTTTTAGATTGTAAAATCTTTTTGGAGATAAGAACGATTTTAATGATAGAAACCTCCAATAATTAACGAGTGAAAAAAAGAGGCGGATTCAGATCTTTTTGAGTATTTGCGTGTAAGAGAATTCAATTGGAACCCGGGTCTGCGATTTCAAATTCCGAGCGGTTATTCATCACACCACTCGAACATACAAGTTTACAGCACCTGGTATTCCCAAGCGGTCACCCATCTAGGTACTGACCAAGCTCGACGTTGCTTAACTTCGGTGATCGTACGAGAACTGGTGTTTCAACGTCGTATGGCCGTAAGCATGGTATTTGCTGGACTCCGGGAGATAAACTTTAATTCTAAAATTGAACTCAGTTGACAATTAATTATGGAATAGCAGATTTTAGAAGTAGAAGTACAACAGTTCACTTACACGTACCCTATAATCATCTGAGCATAAAATATCTAATTCAATAAAAATTGTCAGTGATCTCATAATTTCTAAACGGAATCCCTAATTCCGATTTTCTTTAAAATATTGAAAACTCTTGTTAATAAACTCAACCACTGATTGACGCGAAGGAACAATATATGTAGTTTATTTCTAAGGGTTTCAGTTAACTGTAGATCAGAACACTGAAGAGGTTCGACTTTCCAATACGCATAGCAAATTTGTTTCTGTGGTAAATTTTAAGACGAGCTAAGTCTTATGTATAAAATCTGCATTGTATAAATACTAATACTCCTAATTTTTGTACATTGAAATCAAAAGTATAGTTTGGTTTACTGTAGAATAATCTAAGAATACTGAATTAAGATACCTCAAAATGACAATTATAAAAAATGTTATTCTAGAAATATTAAATCGTCTTTTGACGCTCATGCAAGTTTTGTCAGTTTTGTTTTATTAGGGCTAGAATAAGTGGGACACAAGTCTACATTACAGGAAAACGCATCAGTAATTAGACCACGTGACAAGCATGCTTTTTAGTGTTATAAAAGAATAGAAAGTCTTGCAATTAACAGTAAACATTTATGATTTTCTATGCAACCAGACTGAAAAAAGGGACCGAAATATTTGAAAGCAGATAAATATTACGTAGATATTCACGTCAAACTTGTTTGGATCCCAACTAAAAGACCCTTTACACTGGTTTCTTTGCCTTCAATGTTTCTGATAAGGTTAATGTTCCTTCGCTTTTCCGGTTTTTCTTCTGTCATTTGAGTTTTATCCGCAAATGTAAACAAGAAAGCATCGCTGAATTGGCACTTCGCATTCTCCAAGACTGACTGATGAAACGGAATTTAGCCTTAAAACTAAAACTTGGAGCAAAAATTAAATCAAGGAAACGTTCTTGTTTTTTTTTCTCTACCGTTTAAAAACCAGTTTTTTAATCTGACTTTAAATATGGTAACGTATTTGATCAAACCAAATTAAGAATCTTAACCACATCTTCACAACTGCAAGTGTGCAACCCTGCAGAAGTATATATATATATATATATATATATATATATATATATATATATATATATATATATATATATTCTTATTTCAGGTTGGTGAAGGGAAAATGGATTTCCTTTCACGCGTTTGCATTTTTCTTTATTGTTTTTCGTACAATGTCTTTTGACAAAATATTCTTCGCCTATTTTTGCAGGTTGTAAAATTATAATTGAAATATTTTTTATTAATCCTTACATTTTTGGACTGTTATCTTCATCTTTGTTGTATGTTGCATCTTTAGAACTTACTTAGTGTTGTTTTTTTCTTACCCAAAAGTAAATTCTAAAGACTACGTCTAAAATACACTTGACGATGACCTAAGAATGTATTGATTGAAACGGGCGAAGCAACAAAAATGAAAATTATTGTCTTTCCATTTAGTCTTGTTTTTATCAAGAGCTTTCGGATGTTTTACATCCACTTGTGATTACGGCAACAATGATGAGGAAGCTAATCTGAAAAAAATCAATGTATTATTATTATTATTGTTATTATTATTATTTCTTTGGATTTCTTTTGTATACACATTTCCTTCCGGGTCCCAACCAGAGACCTAAGCTCAGAAACGGCTCCATGACATTTTCCACTGATCATTTTTGTAAATAAAACCAAACACCTACGATCACACACATTTTACATAGATAAAGCTCTTTGTAATGTGTGAGCTGTACTTATGAGTAAAACTTTTTGTATTTCTTTAAGTCACGGGCTACCAGGCATTCCTTCAATGAGTCTATTGGAACCTTTTGCAATCAATCTGAGGGTTCCAACTACAATTGGAATTATTCATATCCTCAGGCGATACATTTTTAGATTGCCACTTCAAGATCCTTACATTTTGATAGTTTTTTGAAGATCCTCGAAGATACATTATTTACATTATCTATTTATTACGCCTTTATCCACTGTGCCATGTGTCCTCAAGGATCCAAAGAGTGTGAGTTCAATACCAGGGTAAGGCAGTGGAGAACTTGGAGAGGAGAATTAACAGGAGATAACTGACATCCATTAAACATGGCACGTGGAACTAGAACAATCTACCCCAATGAGCAAAATAAAGGGTTCAGTTCGACATTCCAAGCACCTGAAGAAAGACGGAGCGTACAACGGCCGAAACGTTGTAATAAATATAGCGACAAAGATGAGGATAATCGTCCGAATAATGTAAATAGTGTACATAATACCACATCTCAGAAATATAGACAGACCCTCGAAGATATATTACAATTAAAAAGTGCCATGTCAATGAGAAAGCACATTCTGTTTTTGTGGCCTTTGATCACGATGTCTGGGCAATTAAATTTGATTGTTCTGTCTGTCCCATATAATTTTTACAGGTCCGATGTCTTTATCTGGGTCTGGGTGATGTTCATACCAGTTTCTTGTAGTTTTCTTCCCGTTGCATATTTTGCAGTGCGGATATTGGCCCAATCTATCATGGCGAGTTTTATATTTAGTGGGTGTTAATATCGTGCAACCTGATACAAGATGTTCAACTGCTTCTGGATATTTATCACAGAATCTGCATTTCAGGATGTGTTTGGAAATTTCTAGTTAACAAGTATTAGTCCTATGCAGCAAGAATAAAACCTTTGGTTTCAGCTTTTAACCCTGCATGGCGTAACCACTGATGAGTTCGGGGTTTATCTACATCAGCTTGTTTGATACGTGCAGAATATTGACCACGGAGGCTGTATTTGCTTTTGCTCTCTTTCTTAAGTTCTTTGACACTTCAGTAGGTGTATTATGGTTTATTTGCACTTCTTCACCTACTTGAAATTCCCTTTTGAATTTGTTGGCTTCTTTTATTACTGAATAAAGGTTTTATTTCTTTAATGTTTTTTACACAGATCATCATCCAGTCTTCTGTAGTTTCCAGGTGTCTTTGAAAACCGATTGTTGTGGTTTTGTCAGACAGTTCAAGTTGAGCTAATCATCTGCCTCCTTCGGATCTAGACACTTACAGATTTCTTATATCCGAAATAAAATGTCAGCTAAAACGCATTAAATAAAGGATTTTGACTTTTTGAAAATTAAATTAAAATCTCATTTAATCTTGACAAAGAAAACGACATTTTTAAAATCTGACCGATCAATTCAGTTTTGGCGTAGGAGAGGGTGAGAGGGAAGAAATTATTTTTCAAGGTAAGACAGAAAGAAATATATCGATTAGGGAAAATGAAAGATAACAATCTGGTGTGGGCAGGAACTTGAATTGAATTAAGGAGTTTGTAGTGATTTTTTATTGAAATATAAAGTGAGTCAAAACTGTTAACCACTGTTCAGTAACAGGCTCTTAAAAAGTGATCCCAAATATCTTATTAATGAATTATTTAGCTAAACATTTAACCAAACAATGGTGGCAAGCATTGTTATGCAGTAGACCGGAGTTCGATTCTCACTGAAGCAGTACAATCAAGTTTTAGACTTTTGTTTCGATAGCTGTAGAGAAAAAAATAATGAGTGATGTTTTATCTGTTATTAAATATGAAAAGGTTACGAATGTTGGAAGGTTGAAAATGAATTTATTCTTGATATTGTACTTCATATACAAACAGTAGATTTCTTAGAAATCTTTCAAAGTAAATTGCACTCTCCCTGTGGAGTAGTGGTTAACAACTTAACGTTACTGGGTTTCAAACGCACGTGAATTTGTACCAAAACTAAGTTATCCTTAGAAAATTTTAATGAAATATAGAATCCGTACATTTTCATGATGCAATGGTTAAGAAGCTCTATTTCAAATTTCATTATTACTACAGTGAGTTTCATCAACACAGCTGTTGTTAGCTCAAATTTGTAAATATCAAATCGTAACTAGCCATATTTGAAACCTCTTTGCTAAAACGACGATAATTTACACTGAAAATGACTGCCAAAATATTTATATCTTAAGCGTAAAGAAGATATGTAAGCATAGGAACATTGCCTAAGTTGAGATATCGCTAACTTAACACTGCAATTAGAACCCCCAACATATTTGCGCGCGGTTTTTTCTCTTTTCTAATTTAGTTATGATGTTAATAAATAGTTGCCAACGAAAGATATCTATCCTGCATACACGTAGAATATTTTTTTTTTAAATGAACAAATAGCTTAACTGCGTTATGGCAGAAAAAAGACGCATTTTGATTTGTCGATTCAAGCGATGACGTCATTCGCAAGTATATTGTGCTTTTTTTAAACCCAAACTCCGCCAACACCGCCATTTTAAACGAACTAATTAAATCCCCACGTGTGGAACTTTGTATGAACGGACAAGTGATTTACCTGACCCGATAACACAAGGGTGCGATGAAGGCCCTTTTTCATTTTTTTCTAGTTTAACTGACAGGAAATTTTCTCTGGATTGAAATCTAAATTTCCCTACTCAAGATTTATTGCGTTAACATACAGCAATTGTGGCACAAGGCCAAAAGTAAATTTCTATGCTCTCTACAGAAAGAATGTTGATTTTGTTTACAAATGAGCATCAGGTGAAGACAAATTCGCGCTGATTGCAGGTATTTTTAGCATAAAACATGAGAAGTTCATTATTTAAAGGCCTTTTCCATCATGAACAAAATCTTTAGTGAAATGGCATCTTTCGTCTTCTATCTTCTTCTTATTATTATTATTTGTACCGTCTCCCTTAAAACCGTGGGTGATCATTGCTCTTCACAACCTTTTACCCTTTGTAGCTCTTACAAGTGTTGGTATTTTTATTATCCCCTCTTTTGCCATCAATTTACACAAACTAGTTATATAGGTTACACCGTTGCTTTTCTCTGTACCTCTTGCCTTCAGTATTTCCTGTGAGTGTCAAATTTTCCAG